ACCTATGGCAATTATAACTGGTTAAGATTAGTTTCCAGATCTGTAACCCTGCTCCCTAGACTATATAAGGCGGGCAGGGAGATCTGCTTTCTGCTACCAACATATCATATCATTTGTTGAGCATATGAGAATGCCATGGTGAAGTGTGAATGGTCTTTCGTTTTACGCTCTCAGCTTGCTAACCTCAGTGCAGACTGCAGATTTGAGCATAAGCACAAGCTGTACGTTAAGAGTGATTTCTTTCTTTTCTCAACTTTATCTAAACATGGAATCGAATCAAGCAAACTTGTGAACACACCTTCAGTTCAGCAAAGTGTAAAGAAGCAAACTTGTTCTCTTGCTTTTACTTTTGTCCATGTCCTCACTCAAGTTGTGTGCTGCTATGCACCTCTTCTTTTCCCCCGTTTTGATTAAATAAAACGATTGTCGATACTAGCTCTTGTAGGAGTATATTGAAAACCATAGCCGTTAATCTACTAGTACTAGCATTAAAGGTCTTTTTCTCTAATTTGACCCTTCTCATGGACGTCGTCACATCACTAAGCTCGCCTATAAAAGCCAGTCAGACCTGTCTGATGTTTTGCCATTGTGTCACAAACTCACGCCTAACAACACGACCAGCTATAGCGAGCTCACAGCTCTGTCAAGGACTGAAGGTTAAGGCCATGGCCAGAACCCTGGTCCTCGTCGCTGTTCTCCTCGCCGCCAGTGCCGGCGACCACGCTGACCATCCACAACCTCTGCCCGCACCCGGTGTGGCCGCTGGTGACCCCGAACTCGGGCCTCCCTTCCATCTCCGACAACACCGCGGCGCCTCGACCCCAACGCGCTGCTCTCCTCTCACCTTCCTGCCCACCTTCCGGTCTCCTCTGCTGGTCTCGGGCGAGTCGGCGCCGCGCCATGCCCGCTGCCCCGCAGCACCCGCCAAGGTCGCGCCTCCTGCCGTCTGTCGCCGGTCCCTCGCGACGCTGCAAGCAAGCCCCACGGTCCCGCGCGGTACCTACTGCTCCACGGCGCTGCCTCCCTAGCGCCTTCCTCTGCTGCTTGTGGTCACGATCTCGCACGCTGCGGCGTGGCGGCGCGGCCGCTGCTAGCACCGGCGGCCGCTCCTGTCACCCGAGCCCACAACGCACCACCGTTGACTACGCCGTGTCCGCCCGGTACCGAGGAGCCCGCCCTGCCACCACCACATCCGCAGCACCACCACCACTTTCGCCTAGAGCCGGCGCGGCTGCCGCCGCCGCCGCTGCCGATGGCGCGCGTGGCCAACATGGCGGTCACCTTCGCCCAAAGTCAGTGCCTGGCATGGCGGGTGTGCGCCAGAGCCCTTGGGTGCCATGCCCCCCCTCGTAGTAGTCACCTTGGGGCCTCACCGGCGGAGTCGCTGTGACCACCGCCGCCGGCGATGCGCCGGCCGTGGCGCCCATGCCTGGCACAGCATGGCAGCGTCTGCTGGGCCACTACGGGGACAACCTTGGCCACACCCATGTGCGTCCAGGTCCGCCGCTGCCTCAAGGCGTCTCCCCACCACCACCGGGTGTGCGGGATGGCGAGATTTGGCTGGCCATGGCCGTCTCAAGTGCCTCCTCCGCTCGTTGAAGAAGAAGAGAAGGGTGAGAATCAAGTAGAAATTTTGTTTAGGGTTCTCAATGTAATTTCTGTGACTCACTTGAATAGTGTTAATGTCCCGGGGGTGGCTTAAGTAAAAGTGCAAGAGCTGCGTGGGCTGGCCTCCCATCGGATTGGGCCGACTTGGGCCGAAATGGTTGGCGAAGCCTTTTTCCTTTTTATCACTGTTATTAATTCCTTTAAATGGCTGAAACTTGTAAAATTCGTAGTAAATCATAGAAAAATCATAAAAATGCCAAACAAATTTTGTTAAGTTTCTAAAATCATGGTTTATTTGATAGTGTATTTCGTTCGCATAGGTTTTGTATGTCTTTAGGGTTTCTCTAATTATTTTAACATGCTTAATATTGTTAAAAGGTGAATTTATAGGAATTTCCGTGATAAATCGGTGATAGTGTTGACTCTGAAAATTTTACAGTAAATTACTAATATTATTATTTGCTCATCGTAATTTTTTTAGCTCCAGAATAATTAAATTGCTAAGATAGCAAATGAGCCCTAGTTCGAATATATAGTAAATCAAATAAATGAAATAAAGAAACACCTTGAAATTTTATAACTAAAATACTTGTTGGGAAATGACACCTTTCTCGACGATGTTGATACGTAGATTATTACGTTAGTCATTAGAGCTAACTTGTTAGCTCGTAGTATGTACTCTGTTTTAAGAGTTGTTGTTGCCTTGTTAATTAATTGTTGCACCATCTCGGCATTTGCATCAATACATATCATAATAGGAACGACGGTGGATCGATGGTATCAAACGGAGTAGCTGAAAAGATGGCGCCAGGGATCAGGACACAAAGAAGGAATACTAACTTTTGATTATATTTTACACAGGCAAGCCCCGGTGCATAACCCCTACTTTTCTGCACTTTAAATTATCTTTGTGCATTAAGTTTTAAGCAGTTGATTGAAACCCAATTGCATATATATATATATACATATATATATATATATACATATACATATATATATATATCCTATGAGTCTTACTAGTATGACAGGATCGTGTAGACTGCTATGCTACAGGACTCCGGTAGAAGTCGAGTGATTGTCTGTCACTTGCGAGAGATAGAAAATATATTATTGGTTACTATATTACTATCACTTGGAATATATATATATATATATATATATATGAATGGTAAATGGAGACCGGGAAGAGATATGGTTTGGGTATTGATGGGTGTAAGAGATTGTGTCCTGCGGCTAACGGGGCATAGCTTGGTTACACTATTTTTCCTGTCTGTGTCGGTTAAGGACCGGACGTTGCATTGGACTCTAGGCAAGTCACAATCTTATTATCGCGAGCACATACTTGTGTATGGGCGCAGGGAAGACTTGTTACTCTCTTGTCATGGTTTCTGGCTCTTTCCGGACCGACTTTCAGGGTGGTTTTTGGGAGGAGGTCCTAGCACCGCGCTGAGTCCGGGACTCATGGGCGGGGGCTTGGAGTCCAAGTTTGGACAGGGACCTGGACCCCGTGATAGGAGGGTAGTGGGTTGGTCATGCTTGTGCCTGGGGTACAAGCAGGACGTGTGTTTTTCGGGGTACCCAGCTGGGCACATTGATTCGCGAATCGCCGAGCAATCCGATACGACTTGTCTACACTCTAGTACCGTAGTAAGAACTGGAGGATGAAAGATGGTAAAATGATTCTAATTGCTTACCACCTGCTTGAAAGTAGTATAGGTACTTACCTAGAATAGTTAGTTAATGAACTATTGATGACTGCTAATAAAATTAAACATAAGGACGCACGTTTAGTAATGCTCCTGTAGATGCAATAAACCCACAAGCCAGATAGCCTTACATATCCTTAGAGTCTTTTCTTTCCTCCTGTCGGGTAAGTCTTGCTGAGTACAATTGAGTACTCAGGGTTTTATTTCCCCCTGTTGCAGGTGACAGGTGGATGCTAGAGCTGACCCTTGTGTGTGGATTCCTCCTGGTGGGCTCAGAGAGGATTCCTTTGCGCTGCGATCGTAGTTTACTTATAACTCTCACTAAGGGTTTTTTATAAACAGAAGTTTTATAACCTGTTGTCATATGTTATATATCAATGTTTCATGATATCATATTTATTTCTGTTGTAACTCTGATCACATGTTTATATTCCGCTGTTAAATTAAATTGTTCATAACTCTGATAACATATTCATATTCTGCTATTATAAATAATAAATATTATACTCTGATGTTGTATTAAAAGTGATGTAAGAAATGGTTAATAATGATGTAAACTTTATTCTCTCATTTGTGATCTTGATGGAAAAATATAGATTTTCGGATTCTCCCCTGGGGTGTGCCCGACGGAATCGCGTAATTTGATGTCCTCCCTTAAGTACTTAGTATCTAGTGGAAGACAAGTACTCCTAGGAGGCATTAGGTTAGATGGTTCTGCCACAACTACCATGCTGTGACTTCGCTACTCCCACTACTATGCCCTGACACGACACGATCCCACGAGTTAGCTCTGTCTCTGTTTCTCCGCCCAACGTGTGACTCCCACCCGCGGCACCCTCACTACTCCGCCTTGATGCTGCCCCGGCGTGTCTCCGCCTCGGCCCGGCTACTCTTGTTTCGCCTCGCCTCTTCCAGAGACCAGTGTCTACATCCACCATGCATTGCCTGCATAGAGAAGGGGCAGCTCCGGGTGAGCCCACGTGTCTGGATGGAGAAGCTGGGCAAAGGCTACTTTTTTCTCCAACCATTTCTAAGATTTCGCTCCTAAAACATATAAGACAATTTTGCATCATTAACCGCAGACTATTTTCAAATCACCACTTGTATAATTTTTTCTCTTGTATATTTGCATTGGGAACCCTGTCATTACTCGTATTCTTTCTCACATCCTTCCACCTCGAGATTGGTCGATTGATACGTGTGCGTATATTTCCATGTGATTGGATTAATTTTCCTAAGTGCGGAAAGATTGAGAGTTGAGATAGGGAGTTGTTAGAGAGTAGTTTTTCAATCTTGCTAAAAAATCAAGATTGGCGGTGGATTTTGAAAACTCTTGGAGATACTCTAATAAATCCGAGGTAGACAAAAAGACCTCGCGGAACTGGTCTGAGTCATCCGCAACTATTCTTATCTCTAAACTGATGTCATGCATCCTTTCTCATGGCTCAAATCCTCTAAATTCAGATTATATGTGCAATATATAACACTGCAAGATATGTAGAATTTGTTTTTCTTCAGAATTGGAAGCTCTTTCAAAACTACAGACGACAAAGAGGTTGATCGCAGCCGCCGTCATTGAAACCAGAGACGACAAAGAGGTTGGTTTCAGTTGCACCAAATAAGGCTAACATCATATCAATCATCAAGGATTTATTAACCATGCAAGTGTTGCACAAAGAGCGTGGGCTATATGCTGTATTGCCTGTACCTCGAAGTGGAAGTGAGAGAGGCCCATGTGTTGTCTTGTGAATCTACCACCGCGCCATGGATGCACTGCTCATACAGATAGGCAGAACAACTAACGATTTCAGTATAGTGCTACTAACACTTAATACTCTCTCAGTCAGTCTGTCTGTCTGTGCTGGCGCGCTTTGGCTAGCTAGCACACTCGATCGAGTTGAGAAACGATCCAGTAGAGTAGTGATATGCTCACGTTCAAGAAGCGGACATGGAAGACGGGGCGCTTGTCAGGGTCGGCGCACTCGTTGAGGATCCTGCGGTGCAGAAGCACGTCCTCCACCTTGTCCACGTTCACATCGATCAAAGAGTCAATCTTTGGAGTCCCATTTTTGCAATTTTTTCAGCTGCACCCATGCACGGGCATAGCATATGTTTTACTATATACTACTACTACGTAGAGAAATTCTCATATGTATCAAGAATTCAACAAGATGATGCTGACCTCAGCGGCAGCCGTTCGAAGTGCCGGTGGAGCTGTTCGCCGAAGGCCGCCGTCGGGGTCTGAAACGACCTCGGGGATTCCCTTCCCCAGGAGACGGCCGAAGACCTCCTTCTCGATGCCAGTGTACCCGTGCGAGCCGTCAGTCGACGAGTCTACTCGGTCGGTGGCGGCAGGCCTGGTGACCACGGCGCCCTCCTTCATGTCATCGTCCTCCATCTCCTCTCCCGCTGTGCCGAGGTGAATCGCATGCGTCTGTACAAAATGTTTCATCTGTTTCAGACTTATGTTGCAAGTGTTTTATTTGGATGTTGCATATGTTTCACAAGTATGTTGCAAGTATATGTTCCAAATATTTCATCTGTTTTCAGATGTATGTTGCATCAAGTGTTTCATGTTGCAAGTATTTCATGTTTCAAGCATATACTCTAGGATGGAACGGACGAAGTCATGTGACGTGTGGATTCCCACATGCACGCGCGAAATGGAGAAGGCACAGGTGGCCCCGCGTGCACGTGGGAAACTGAGGGACGCGGGTGGCCCCCACGTGTAGGTAGATGGCGTGGGCGGGGCAAGTCGGGCGTCGCGGGCGGTCCCCGCGTCCGCGCGGAAACAAAATGTGCGAATCCGAGCGGGTGGGGGGTGCGACACGAAGCAAGCGTGGGTATCCGTCCGGACATCCGGACGCTAGGACTTCCGATAACCTTTTCCTACACTTTCCAATCTAATTCATATCTATAGGATGATGATGAAGCTAACAATAAGTTGTAGTTTGAGTTCAACTATACTAGCTTCTATTACTATTTGAGCATATGTATATTTGCTATAAAGATATATGAGCTCCACGTTAAAAATGGATCCCTCACCTCGCCTTTGCATCTTAAAATTTTAATAAAGTCATTTGCATTTTTGTAAAAATGACTCAATACAGCATCATGCTACTTTGTGATATTGGTATTTCATCTCCCTATATATAGCTAATGCAGCTAACTACTAATTGGGAGGATTCAAACAAGACCTTAACCAATATATAGAGAAATAAAAAAGAAGAAGAGAGCACTCTGCAGGCATACATGCATGAGCTTCCAAAAGGGGAAATATATCTTTTTTCTAGATGAAGTCGCGGATGTCACTGAGCCGTTTGGTATCTCTTGACGCCATTGAAAGTGTTTTAGGTCTAATTTGCACTAAACACACTAATCATCTCTTGCAGTCCGCCATGATCTTTGCCATAGCTTACTATACAAATGGCCTCCTTTGTTGGTCAAGTGGTCTTTCTCAATTAATGGTTGTTGTCGATGGTGGATCGTTTAATCGTCAAAAAGTAAGTGTGGAAAGGCAAACACGATTATCTTCTAAATTGGCTGAGTCCTAAATTTCTTATGAGTGTTACTGGTAGTTACATATGGGTTGAACTCTACCAAAGATTTTAACCGCGCCGCCGTTCATCAGTGCTGTCAAAGTTCAAAGACACCGCCTGATGGAAAATCTGTTTGCGCGTGACAGGTCAGGCCATGCAACCATGCGTGAAGCCATATTGCTTATTTGCTTTACTGAGCAGAGGTGAGCGCGTACATGTACGTTGCTGGTATTCCGAAACCGTCGAATTGGCCGTGCACGCCGTATCCGATGGAGAGAAGAGAACACGACAGCCCGGCCGTGTTGTGCGGTGGATATATTTGTTTTCATATTTCGGTTCGGATTCGGATTCGAATACGGATAATATCAACTATGTCGGATATGATACTATTAGGTATCGATATCACAAATATGCGATTTAAGTATTCGGATACAGATACGGTATCGGATGTTGAATATCCGGACACGGATACAGACAGATCTGAACCTCTCTAAACGAATTCGATCTCGAATACGGTCAAAAAAATATTCGTACCGTTTTCATCCCTCGTGGTGGATAAACCCAGCCATCGATAGACTTGCAGGAGCCACCTCGTCAGCAACCGATGACCGGATCTGCAGATGTCAAGGCAAAACCAATGAATTCCTTTGCTTTGTCACATGTTGCCATGCCGGATGACGGCACGGCATCAGGCAATGTACAATTGGGCTCGATCGGTCTTTCGGAAAGTATGGCCCAGTTGAGGTGATGGGTCGAGAGAAGGTCACAAAGCAAGCAGAAGGGTGGAAACAAAAGGGAAAAATACACCAGAAGGGCTAGTGCCGACGGCCGAAGGAGGCGTCCGGACGCCGCTCATGTTCGAGCGCATCCACCGCGCCCTGTCCCGTCTCATCTCCACGTAACAGAAGCGCACCCCGTCCCATCCCCGTAATAGAAGCGCGCTCGTAACCCCGCAGCGCCGCAAAAAACAGGAGCGCGCCTGCCACGCCTGCCTCACCCCGCCTGCAGATGCGCGCTGTGGAGGTCTGCCAGCCTTAGGCGCCCGCACGGTGACCCACGACGGCACCCCAGCAATAATATGGGGCTATGACAGATGAGTCATATTGCAACATATGCAACACCCGATCTACTTTTGAAACATTTAGATGCAAACAATTGCAACATACGTCTAAAGACAGATGAAACATTTGAAACATGCGTCTAAAACATTTGCAAAACACACTGGAAAAACACTTAAAAACTATTGCAAAAGATACGCAACATCCAGATAAAACACTTGCAATATATGTATGAAACATATGCAACATCTAGATAAACACACTTACAACGTATGTATAAAAACAGATAAAACATTGGGAACAGACGTTTGCAACATACGTGTACAACCATTGCAACATATACAACATCCCGATCTACTTTTACAACATCCATACGAAACATTTGCAACATACCTCTGAAACATCTGAAACATACATTTGAAACATGCGGTTTGAACGCAACATCTCCTTGCTGCTTAGGAGAATGGAGGATCGTCGACGTGTAGAGTTCACTGGTGTAGAGCTCGCTGGTAACGCGGAGATTGTCGCTCTGGTGGAGAAGGTTGCGATAGGTCACTCCAGTGGAGAGAGAGGGCTGGGGGAAGGCCCTACCGGTCGTCGCTCCTGGCACGAGCCGTCGCTGGAAAGGGACAGAAGCTACCGGGCGGTCGCGATGCAGAACGGAAACCGCGCGACAGACGTGAGAGCGGTAGAGAGGGAGGAAGGTGGGCGGCAGTGCTCGGGCGCGGTGGAGAGGAAGGATGGTGGTCGGCCGAGCACGGTGGAGAGCGCCGCGGTGGAGCACGAGATAGCGTCCGGACGAGTGGCAATGTTGAGTCGTTTGGACGGTGGCGAGGCCCACCAATGCAAACGTCGGGACGGCTGGACGTCCTACCTACAGTATTTTTGAGAAGACACATGATGCACCACTCGAGACAGACTATCAGCCTGTTCGTTTGGCTGTGGCTTGTCGTAAACGATCGTAAATTTCTAGCTGGAACAGTATTTTTCTCTTACACAAACCAGCGAGCAGTACTTCTTCACGAACCAGCAACGAAACGAACCAGCCAACTGAAAAGGCTGAATGGTGATGGAATGAGACTAGTGTTTAATTAACAACAGAATGCTTCTGGAAACAAGCCGCTGAGCAAAGCACCAACAAACAGATATCTACTGCGATGCGAAGGGTGGCACACGGGGGTTTATTAGAAACACAGTTGTACATGCGTGCGTGTATATGCTGTCACGCCCGTCGACGGATGCCAACGAATTCAACAGCTGCCGGGCGGGGCGGTGGTGTTCCACCGACAGGCGACAGCACGAGCGCGTCGATCAGCTATTGGTGGTGAACCTGTAGGACGCGTAGGAGATGGTGGCGTTGGTCCAGCACTGGTGGATCTGCTCCGCCTTGGCGGCGTCCCCGGCGGCGCCGAGCGCGACGTGCAGCGGGTACAAGTGGTCCGGCGACGGGTGCGCCACCCTCCCGTGCGGCGCCTTCTCCTCGTACCGGTTCGCGTCCTCGTACCTGATCGATAGCCAAGGCCGGCGGCGACTGGACGGATCAGCAGCAGCAGCAGCAGCAGGGCAGTTTTCATTCAGGTTGGTTCGGTTTACCTTCCGGTGAGGAGCTAGTCTTTGAGCCAGGCGTCGAACTCGGCGGCCCACTGCGGCACGGGCGCGTCGAACGCGCCCATCTTGCGCAGGTTGTGCGTGGCGCTGCCGGAGCCGAGGACGAGGACGCCCTCCTCCCGCAGGGGCGCCAGCGCCTTGCCGAGGTTGTAGTGGTACGTGCCGTCGCGGCCGGTCTGCACCGACAGCTGGCACACGGGGATGTCGGCGTCCGGGTACATGAGCATCAGCGGCACCCAGGCGCCGTGGTCCAGCCCGCGGCTGTGGTCCTCCTTCACGGGGCCGAACCCGGCTTGCTCCAGGAGCTCTTTTGTTAGCTTCATGCAGTCAATTCAGTCCAGGTTTAGTGGTTCAGTTAGCTAGTTTGTTTTATCCTTGGTCAATAAAAGGAACCCGTCGTGGGTGCGTCATGTACGCTGGAATCGCGCTCTGTTTGCAGTGAGGCAAGTCACGTAGGTGTGTTCTCCGTTGTTTTCGTCGAGTCTTAGCTGAAGCTTCGCACTCCACTTGTTCGGTCGTGGGATGGCGCGGCCAAGTAGGAAGAAGTGGCGTGCATGGCGTTGAGTACTGAGTGGCCACGAGCTGCTTGCTGCATGTATATATATATCAATCAATAGAGTTTGAAAAAGCTGTGTAGTTGTGCGGCACCAATTCTGTGTGTTCCTCTGTGATCGTGTGTGTTTGCAGTTGAGTTTCCACCAAGCAGTGTTCATCTTCCTCGTATCCGGCGTCGAGGGACGGCCGGTGGGAGACTACATCCTTGGTCCGCAGGGGTTCACTGCACTCGGCCACGAGAAGAAGGTGCTGCGCCTCAGGAAGGCGCTATATGGACTTCGTCAAGCTCCCAGGGCGTGGAATCAGAAACTAGATGCCTGCCTGCGTGAACTCGGCTTCACGCGGTGCACCAGTGAGCATGGGATGTACACCCGAGGCAAGGGGTTGTCTCGTGTGGTTGTCGGCGTTTACGTCGATGATCTGATCATTACCGGAGCCAAAGAAGGTGGAGTTGAAGCGTTCAGAGCAGAGATGTTGCGCTTGTTCAGGATGAGTGACCTCGGGCTGCTATCCTATTATCTGGGCATTGAGGTGAGGCAGTCTAAAGCTGCAATCACCCTCGGGCAGGCGGCGTACGCGCGCAAGCTGCTACAGAAGGCGCACATAGCCGGGTGTAATCCCTGCCACACTCCAATGGAGGCGCGTCTTAAGCTTTCAAAGGAGGGAACGACGGCGCTGGTCGACGCCACTGAGTATCGCAGCCTAGTGGGGAGTCTGAGGTATTTGGTTCACACTCGCCCGGACATTTCGTTCGCGGTGGGGTTCGTGAGTCGTTTCATGGAGAAGCCAAGGCAGGAGCACATGGTGGCGGTGAAGCACCTGCTCCGGTATGTAGCTGGAACAATCGAGTTCGGCATCGTCTACCCCAAGCTGTCCAGCGGCGACAACAACCTGATCAGCTACAGTGATAGTGATCTTGGGGGAGACACTGACGACAGGAAGAGCACGACTGGCATCATCTTCTTCCTGGGACAGAAGGTGGTGGCCTGGCAGTCCCAGAAGCAGCGGGTGGTGGCGCTCTCGTCCTGTGAGGCGGAGTACATCGCGGGGGCTGGAGCAGCATGCCAGGCGGTGTGGCTGAGGAGGCTTCTGAAGGATGTCACTGGTGATGATCTTCGGACGCCTCAACTGAAGATGGATAACATGTCGGCAATCGCGCTCAGCAAGAACCCTGTGCTGCATGATCGAAGTAAGCATATTGATACAAAGTTTCATTTTATTCGTGAATGCATCGACAAGGGAAGCATCTCGCTGGAGTTTGCGAGCTCTCAGGAGCAGCTCGCCGATCTGATGACAAAGGCGCTTGGGTGATCAAGGTTCTGTGAACTTCGTGAGAAGATCGGTGTTATCAACCTGGGCTGAAATTGCTTCTTTCAGGGGGAGATTGTTAGCTTCATTCAGTCAATTCAGTCCAGGTTTATTGGTTCAGTTAGCTAGTTTGTTTTATCCTTGGTCAATAAAAGGAACCCGTCGTGGGTGCGTCATGTATGCTGGAATCGCGCTCTGTTCGTGGTGAGGCAAGTCACGTAGGTGTGTTCTCCGTTGTTTTCGTCGAGTCTTAGCTGAAGCTTCGCACTCCACTTGTTCGGTCGTGGGATGGCGCGGCCAAGTAGGAAGAAGTGGCGTGCATGGCGTTGAGTACTGAGTGGCCACGAGCTGCTTGCTGCATGTATATATATATCAATCAATAGAGTTTGAAAAGGCTGTGTAGTTGTGCGGCACCAATTCTGTGTGTTCCTCTGTGATCGTGTGTGTTTGCAGTTGAGTTTCCACCAAGCAGTGTTCATCTTCCTCGTATCCGGCGTCGAGGGACGGCCGGTGGGAGACTACATCCTTGGTCCGCAGGGCTATGTCCGGGGCGCCCGGAGCGGGGTACTTGAGCTGAATGATGGGACAACGAGTTCATTCATCCAGGATCGACGGGGAAACATCAGATTCTGACCTTTTTTCTTTTTTGAAGGAAACTTCAGACTTCAGTCAGAGCAATTCTTAGACTGTGTTGTTGCCAAACAGCTTTGGACTGTCATGTCTGACATTTTTTGGTAGAAGTCTAGGCACTGGTTTTTTTATTTTATCTATTGGTCAATTATGGAGTAGTAATAATAACTTCTTAGTTTGTAATATGTTCAGTGCTGCTGCCCTGTGGGGGCTCTGGAAACTAAGAAATGAGATTTGTTTTCAGGGTTTAGCTTGGAAAGACATGAGGTCGGTTCCTATGAACATAGCAGTACTGATTCAAGGCTAGGCTCTGCTCTGCCCACAAATGAAGAAAACAGAGTTCTCTAATGAGGCTGGAGGAGCTAAAATGCTTGGCTACAAGACCAACAAGATTGAGTGGCTAGACCAAGTTGAAGATGAATGGGACAAATCCCTGTGGAGCTGAAGAACAGAATCTCTGGTAAACTGAAGAGTGAAGACCGACGTGCTGTCAAACAAGAAGACATGGTTCAACCTGATGATGGAGGGCCGAGGGCGTGTCACCTAAGTTGAAAGTCTGAGCTCAGGCCCTGAAGGTGGCGTTTATCCTCTTTGGTCTCTTAGCTGTTCTGTTTAGTTCTTTTGCTGAACTTTTGTTGGAATTAGGTGAACGGTCAGGGGCTTTGCCCTTGAGAGAGAGAGAAGCATCGAGCCGACCTGGTACATGGGCTTGGGAAACCCATAGAAGTCGTGGATGGTGTCATTGCTGCCGCGGATGACGTTGACCGCCGGCGTGGCCGTCTCCCAGTGCCCCGACACGACGAGGATGGCGCGCGGGGGCTGGTCGCCCGCGAGCTTCGCCGGCACCCACGACTTGAAGAAGTGCCGCGCCGGGATCTTGTCGCCGACGGAGAGCGTGGGCGAGCCGTGCGACAGGAAGAAGGTGTCCAGGGGCACAGGGGGTTGTTGGAAGACCCTGCTGCCGCTGATCACATGGCTGTTTCGAGAAGGAGAGGCTGGAGGTTGACGACGAGAAATTACCTTCATCCTACATCCGTATCCAAGATGGAGCATCAGGTTACGAGCAGCAGCATATCGTCCAACTTAGAGTTCCACGTCTCCAACGACGAGGACGATGACAGCGCATGAGTCCGTGCTGAACGTGCATGAGGTGCAAGCATTTAGGAGCGTCCGCCTGTTCCCGCGGCAAGTGGTGCACGTCACTGAACGGCTAGGAAATATAGGCGTCGCAATACCGGAGACTGTGTAGTTACCGAGTGCCCCGATAATTACCGAGTGTCAAAAGTCGGGACACTCGAAAAACAGTATTTATCGAGTGCCAATACTCGAAAAACATAAACACCCGGTTGTCGACCGCTTTACCGAGTCAGCACACTCGGTAACTTCAGACACTCGGTAAAACTACAAGTTTACCGAAGGGATGCACTCGGTAAAAACAGCCACTCGGTATTGAGGTGCCACGTCACCTAGGATAGCAACCGTGCGTCCAACGACATCACGGCATGACATGTTTACCGAGTATTATGAGCATACACTCGGCAAACATCACGGTAACAACAACAGCTCCGCCCATCAAGCGGGAAAATGTTTACCGAGTGTCGATGCACAACACTCGGTAAACACTATATTTTACCGAGTGTATTGGCTAACACTTTCGGTAAAATTAAACCAAATTTCTTGTTTTTCCTTCATTCTTTTTCCTCTATCCACATATGATATTTAGTACTCCATTCCAAAATATGGTGTTTATTTCGATTTATTTACTATATTTCACAAAATTTTCATTCTTTATGAAAATTAGGTACATATCGTAAAATTTAATTGTAATAATTAAAATCGAACTTCGATAAATCACGAGATTGGAAGAATTAACATTGAAGCATACATCTATGTTATAGAAAAATTTCATAACATTTTGGAAGTATTTTTACATTCGTCATTTGCCGAACCGTACATCTCCCAAAAGAGACGCTAAACATTCACAATGACGAGTAGGATTTCTATTAAGAGTGAAATTCAACATTATGATTTGAACTTGGAATTTTAGATAGTAAATAGATGACATGAAATAGTTCATGTGAAAGTTTGGTGAATTTTAGGATTAAATTGGCATTTTTTCTTTTTTGTTTTGCATGAAATAATGGATACTTTTACCGAGTGTGACCTAAAACACTCGGTAAAGGTTAGCCACGGCCCACCTGTCTGCCACAGTGGGCTGCCATGCTTATGTTTACCGAGTGCCGTAGATCTGGGCACTCGGTAAACATGTACCAGGCCCACATGTCATTGGGCTGCGGTGCTTGAGTTTACCGAGTGCCGTACATCTAGGCACTCGGTAAACAGAAGCATTCAACACTTAGCCGTTTCTCCCTCAGATCGTGCACAGACACACACACACACACACCGCACACGCCTCCCCACCGCCGCGGCCGCCTCCTCCCCTCCACCACCACCGCCACCGGGCGGTCCCCCACAGCCGTCGCCACCGGAGAGACGGAGAGAGAGAGAGACGGAGAGAGAGGCAGTGACACCGGCGCGCACCGGACAACGATCCCCTCCGCCGACGCCGCCCGTGCTCCCTCCTTTGCTCCCGTTCCATGAGGTGGGGTGGGGTGGGCCCAGCAACAGCGGCGACGGCGAGCACTCTCCCTCCTCGACCGCGGCCTCCCCTTCCGACGCGTGCTCCCAGCTGCACCGGTGGCGACAAGGGACCCCTGCACTGCCTCCGTCGATGCGGTACCTGCCTGTTGCCCACCTCTCCCCTCCGTTTGGTGGTGCCGTGATTCGATGGAATGGAAATGGATAGATCCGTGCGGGACGGCCCCCTGTT